TGAAATATCCTTCCAGAATGACGTAGCTCGGTTGGCAAGGTATCTAATTCGACAGAGTTTTCTGTAATTCTTCGTATTTTTGTTGAGCAAACGCGAGGTGTTATTATTCCTTATTCACGAATAAGCTGACGTTTCGGCGGGTTTCGCCCTCCTCAGAGCCGCTTTCTCTGAGGTTTCCACTAAGTATGTCACGTAGAGACCAACCGCACAGAAATCACATGGAAGTATAATGTATATGAAATCTATAATAATTGTATAATAATCTAATCTATGTAAATGTATATTGTATAGTATATGAAATCACGTTATACTTCCATGTGATTTCTGTGCGGTTGGTCTCTACGTGACATACTTAGTGGAAACCTCATAGAAAGGGGCTCTGAGGAAGGCGAAACCCACCGAAACGTCAGCTTATTCGTGAATAAGGAATAATAACACCTCGCGTTTGCTCAACAAAAATACGAAGAATTACTTGATCAGTGCCGAGGTTAATAAAAAGTCGGTCGTGGGAGAGTTTTCTGTAGTCATGTCTAATTACATAGTGACAGCAATTGAAGGTTGTAACAGTACGCAAAAAGGCGCGTGTGGCGCAGTAGTGGGAGGCGCCCTGCAACACACACGTGGAATCGATCTACGCTCCCATGGCCCACCAAGCCCTCCACTCCTCCAGGATCTGAAAGTTTGCCCCAGACTTGTCTGGGAGGGTAGCAGCACTGGCTCGATACACCGGTATGCCAATGCGAGTCATTGCAAAGGCCAGATATGCATTCAATCACCTCCAAATGATACTTAATGAAGTCGAATGCATGGCGCACCCTCACGGATTGATAAATGCCGAAAGCTTTATCCTTTATTAAGCTGTAATAGTCTGCGTAATATGGTGATGACTGTAAGCAGGTAAGCACGTAAACGTAGCCAATAACTAGGCTCCTTTCATAGTGTACATTGGAAAGGTCTACGAATGTGTTCGCACATAGTGGTGAATAAGTTTTGCATATGACTTCTGATAAACAAAACAAAACCGAGCTTTAAAGAAATAAATTGAGAAGTACTGCACGAACTTCCAGTCAACCAAAGATCCGTGGTAATGATACAGTGTTGAGTTGCTGCTGCTTCCAAGGATGTGAAGATATGCTGCCATATTTTTATTATGAACTTAAATAAACACATTTCCAAAAAATTTGTGAGAAAGAATGTGTTCAAAGATCACAAACTGATCTGGTTAGTAGCAAATTTGCATATTTTCTTCAATCAAATACTTCCTGGCAGGATTTCGCTCATCATTCTCCAGTGTTGTAGATATAAAGCCGTTTAGTGCCTACAAGGGACGTCGGTGATTGCGGTTGCTCATTCTCCACTTCTCCTAACCATTCGCCATGTATTCCAGTTTGGACACAGCTCTCCTAAAACCTCTTTCCTAGTGTTTTTTTCCAGAGCTGAAGCATTCAAACACCACTTAAATGAGTTACGGAAGTGTTTCAAAACAGACTTTCCTTTAAGTTCAGAATAACTGATCAATATGTATTATTTCACTGTTAAGGTGACACAAGGTTGACAAAAAAGTTGATCAACCAATAAATAAAGAATAATTTTTTTTACCGAACTCCTATTAGCCTATCAGTGAAAGAATACATGGCAATGTTGTCCGTGCAGGGATATAGTATCGTTCGGATCGCACTATCTTCTTCCTCTCGGCTCGTGTGAAACAAGCATTGAGTATTTCTTAAAATTATGAATGGTTTTTGCACTTTGTCACTCCACCGGTGTCACACCTCTACAATTTTCGAAACACCCACCGAAAACCATAAAGGGGAGCAGCTTTTATTTGCACAGCACAAATACACTAATAAGAGCAGAGGAAATAGTACCGATGGTGTAAGGGCACGATGAAATCATGAAAAGACACCACACAAGTCTTTGCTTGTAACGAACTTAAATATTACGTTTTGTCCGATAGGGATGCTAGGAAGTGCAGAAGGTAGCGCTTATGCAGAGACAACCGCGGCATCCACTAGGAGACAGCCAAACGCTCGGCCTAATCATTTGATGTCTCAACTTCGTACTAAAATTTTTCCGGAATCCGACCTATTTACTGGAACGAAACATTCGCTAGCAGTTGGTCCAACAGATTTAAGTCACACTGCTCAGAACGATATAGAATTAACACTCCTTATGAATCGAAATGAGTCTCGTTTTGAGATTGTTATAATTTGAAACAGTACTTTAGGCTACGGATCTCCCTCATGTGAGGGATCTCGAGCCGGTTAGCCGCGAAGCTACGTGGCGCGTCCCCAGGTGGCGGATAGGTGGTTAATCGCGTACCAAAAGCGACCTTTGCTTCCATGAGATGCAGGTGGATCCAGGGGATGGACTCCCTGTTTCCGCTGCGCTGATTTGGCACATAATTTCTGTATTTGCTAGGCGTATTCATGCATGCATACGTGGGTGCGTTCTTGATTATGCGGATTGCATTCTACGAGTCATTTCGGCCAAAAGCCTGCAATGAAGTGACTGGGAGGTATATGGGAGGCGGTTAGGAGTCGCCTCCAACAAATAAGCTCCATGTCCACTCTGGGAGAGCCTGGAAAGCTACCCATGAGTATACCCAGCCTCCACATTCAAAGCAGAGCAATCAATACGTAGCTATCAAAATGCTAAACACAGTTTAAAAAATGGGCCTTATACCCCTGACCCCGAAAGACCCCCAATTCGGCAGCTTTGGATAGGACGAGTACGGAGAGGCTGCTAAAATCTCAGGGCCAATGGAAGCTACCTGGACTTCAAAGAACTATGGCGACGATCTGTACCTACAATGCATTTACACTTGCATCCAAGTTCTCGATAGAAGACTTGCTTATGCAAGCAAGAAGGATAAGGTACGACGTTATCGGCCTGGCCGAAACGAGAAGACGCTAGCCTTTCAACGCCGTCTACGACACCGGAGAAGAACTGCTCCTCGGAACATGCGAGAGTAGAGGAGTCGGCCGCGTCGGCGTTCTCGTCAACACGAGTTTGTCAATGAACGTCGATTCATTCGAACAACTTACAACCCAAATCGGACGTTTACGAATAAAAGACGTGGATCAATTCCGGCTATTGACAATCTCCGTCGTTTACGCGCCGACATCAAACTATAACGAAGAAGAAGGCGGAACGTTCTATATGTACTTGGAGAATTTATGCAGAGAAGACCACACATTCGTCAAGGTCATCATTGGAGATTTCAATGCCAAAATTGGACCAAGACGAACCTCTGAAGGACGTCACATTGGAACCAACGGATTAGAATGGAACGAACAGGGTGAGCTGCTATCTGAGCTTACCATGGGGACCAAGACAGTCCGTGGTAACTCGTATTTCCAGAAGTCTCACCTCCAGCGCAGGGCGTGGGAGTCACCTAGTGGAGAGTACTATAACGAAATAGACCACCTCCTACTAAATAGAAGGTTTTGCCTAACCGATGTCGCTGTTGCCTAAAATTCTACACGGGATCAGTCCACCGTCATCTTCGTGCAAGATTCTATTTCTCGCGGAAGGGAGAAAAACCCGCTAAATTCGCTAAATTCCAAAACCGAAGACCTAGAACCACAACAAACTGGGACTCATTCAATTCATTAGTAGGCTTCTGGGAAGACGCCGTTGTCGATAACATCGACGAAAAATAGGATCGGCTCATTCAACATCTTCACATTAGCGCTATGAAAGCTGAAAGTTCGAAAGTCACCAAGAGACGTTTATCTCCAGAAACACTTGAGCTGATACGCCAGCGTGGAATAGCACGAGCTGCAGGCAACTGCGAACTAACGTCCAAACTTGCGAAACAATGCAGACAGGCGGTAAAAGAAGATCTTAAAGAGAGAAGAGCAGCAGTAATGATCGAGGCTGCAGAGGCTGGGAAAAGCATTCGCAAAGCCCACCGAAGCTTCTCCAATTACAAGACCAAAATGATTGCATTCCGGCGCCCAGACGGAACAGTTACAGTGTCCAGAAAGGCAATGGAGAAAATCATTCACTAATAGTACTCGGATCTCTTCGATAGCCACGTCCACCTTCCGCCATATGAAATAAGACCACTTCCAGAGGGTAACACGGCTCATTGAAGTATCACAAGGATAGAAAAGACCGCTCTGTTTCACTTTCATCGATTTACAAAAGACCTTCTTCGTTCAGTTGAGATAGAAGCAGTCTTGGAAGCCCTTGATAGTCAAGGAGTTTCTACTCAGTATAGATTCTTGGTGAGCTGTACCAAAAATTGACAACCAAGGTATCACAATTCTACAACGATATTAACATTGACGTCGAAAGAGATGTTAAGCAGGGCGATACTATCTCGCCAAAATTATTTACCGCCACCCTCCAGAACACCATTGGAATGGGATAATATGGGAGCGAAAATCGACAGCCGGCAGTTACACCATCTTCGCTTTGCTGATAACATCGTCCTTGTAACACCAAACATTAGCCAAGCGGAACGTATGTTTGACGACTTTGATAAAGCCTGTGGAAAGGTTGGTCTTTGACTAAACCTCACAAAAACGATGTTCATGAAGAACGGATTGCTTTCGTATGCCAAATTTACGCTTAACGGAACGAATATCTCCGAATGCTCCAGTTATATCTATCTTGGTCGTGAAATCAATATCATGAACGACGTAGTTCCAGAGCTGAGCAGAAGAAAACGAGCGGCTTGGAGAGCTTTCAAGAGTATCGAGGATGTAGTGAAGAGAACAAAGAACACCCGGTTCCGTGCCCACCTTTTCGACTCAACGGCACTTCCTGCCATAACGTATGCGTCAGAAACCTGCTCGCTGCGTAAGCATTATGAAAGGTCACTCAGTGTTATCGAACGCGCAGTTGGAAGGACGATGCTAGGCGTATTCCGTTCCACATAAGTAAGGGATGGGGTCCAAAGCTCCGATCTGCGTCAAGGATCATAAATCAATGGTGGCGTTCTGTACGCCAAACAGTCGAAGGCTGGACCGGATACGTAATGCGTATGAATGGCAACCGATGGGCATGAGCCGTTAGTGACTGGATTACTCGGGATGTCAAACGTACTGCAGGAAGACCATCGACCCGATGGTAAGAGTTCTTCGCGAAGAGCCGAGAAGAAAGATATGATGCTGGACGAGTCCCTGGAGCGAGCGGAACCAACTGGCTACTCTTGTACGCGACGGAGAAAAATGGAAGATTTGCTGGCGCCCGCTCGAGTCACTCGACGATAAACGGGACTACAGGTGATACTGGTGATACTGTAAGCTTTACATCTCCTACCTTAATATGTATTTGTGTTTGAGTTCCTTTGTTTCGCAGCTTTGCTCGACTGTCAAACTTCTCGTTAAGCATTTTTATTCTAAAAGGTTAAGTAAACAGGGACAATAAAGATTCTTCAAGAAAATGAGAATACTAGAAGAAAAAAAGGTTAACGATTGCTAACTAAACCGGTCGTAGCCATGTATTGCCTCTCTGATTGCATGATTGTATGATCTCATGTTTAGAAGTCAGTCCACATTTTTTTAATGCGCGACAAATTCCCGAACTCAAAAAGTAGCCCTTCTAAAATTATACATCACTTTAAACGATCTCAAGATTCTCTCCTCTGTATGGTCAAGTTTTAATAGTTAGGTGAGTACAAACGTCGACAAGGAGCATTAGCAATATCAGGACCTAGAAGCCAGCCCGACAACGAGGCTTAATTTGCTTATTAGCAACGTCCACAAAAACTTTAATCCTTAATGTGAGCAAGAGCCACGTTCCTGCTCCATTCCAAAGTGTGCATCAGGTCCAAACCAATCAGTTATTGTTCGTCTTGAGGTCAAACTGACCACGTGTTTGGCCCTATATTTTCTCATTAAAGCTTTTATGCTAGTTTCCACTAGTAACTTGCTGTTGAACATTCCATTTCCTTTACGGACCGACCCGATATCATCTCTTGAGACGCACCAACATGTAGAATAATTGCTTTCTAAATCTGACAGTTCGAGTCCCCAAACTACTGAAAACCCACCTATTAACCCGCTCCGTCGCGCTGGCCCAACGAACTACGCGTAATTTTCCTTCAGTTGTGGGCGTTCTGGTTTTCTGACAATAAAATACCTTTTCTCAATAAATAGAGAACGTGAGGAATTTTGAACACGACAGGACTGCAGGACGGGCTTTGTGCTATCATTCTCTGAGCATGAATGGTATGTACGCCACTATTTCCTATGTGTTGCTGTGGTCCATTATTGCAAATACATTGCTGCAGACATTTGTAGGCCTTTTGGAGTTTATGTTAAGTCTAAATCGGCATTTTTTTATATCAGCACATTTCATACAATCACCATCGCGGTTAAAATGAAATGACAGTTAATTGTTGGTGAAATTGTGGGTAAGTGAGCTTTTTCGAAAACAACTCATTGAAGTGTAAATCATTAAAAGTAGGAAATGGTTTTTCTAGTCCCACACCTCCCCTTGTGACCTACTTTCGACTAGCTATCGAGTGGGTATACACAGTGCGATAAAAGAAACTCTGGAAACTACTAAATCTAACGTGGGCGCTATGTCGTTTAGTCCCTATCGGGAAGTTAGTTTTCACCAAAAAGAACGTGCTGTGGACAGCAGTCTAGCGAGACGATTCCCACTCTGAAGTTGCTTTCTCATCCCAGTTCTCCCGCCACCATATTTGCTTTTACTAATCTTTCGCATTCCGATGGTAAGCTAGCTGTAGCCATTTTGTAGAAGTAGTTTTCATTGAAGAAAACCTCCGCCAACTTTTCTACGAAGAGCAGGACTGTTTTTTGCTTCGACGTATGTTTAGCCCTTTTGCGTTTGATCTTCTGCACAGAACCATGTGAAAGGTGAGGTGATGCGAAATGGGACTTTTACGAATACGTAAAATCTAAAATTTAGCTGTTACTACAGATGTAAAACAAGAAGTAGTCTACATGTTCTTTAACTCGTATGTTGTTTGGATCTGTTCCAGTGACGTGCTTTGCAACCTAACAGTTACGTAACAGCAACCTAACACTGGCTTCCAGGGTACGTTTTTGCTACTTGAGATGCTCGTTTTTTCCGAGGATCCTAGACAAGCCTCACTAGTTTCTTCTCAAGGCATTGCAACAATCACCCTTTTGTATTATGAGATTGAAAATGAGATCACGTGGAGATTTGTAGCTTCTCAAGGAAAGCACAATCAGCACAGCATTGATTCGCGATATCAGTTTCCTCTTAGCTAGGCTTCCGGAGGGAATATTGAGCTATGCCTTAGCTTGGATTAAACTGCCGAAGAAAACTCCGGTGCATATTACAGTTCGAGATACAGGAATGCATTCTCCCACAATGAAGCCGTAAACCATTGTGGCATTCTCTAGTTGAACGAAGAGACGTATATGAAATCATTATTGTGGGAACATTTGAAACTTTTTACTTAGAAAAAACTCATCTAACAGAACCGCTTAAGCACCAGAATGATTTCGATGTGTACATATCCAAAAATAATTGCGTTTTTCAACTTGAAATAAACATATTTCATCATACAACATCGCCTATGAGTTAAAACAGAACCAGTTAGAACCCGGAAAGGTTGTCTACAAGAAAATAGCTTAAGCCTCGAGCTTCCTTGGATTGACAAAGCATCTTATTATTCCAATTCTTTTTCGCCAAAGCTCTTATTTTAAAAACTAAATGAATACACATTCGAGGATTTCTTGAAACAAGACGCAATCGCCTATCCTAATATCTCAATGATGCTTATGTAGCAGCTCTTGAGTTAGTATTTTTAAAAATATTAATTTCCCGCTCGATTTTTTGCGAACATAGATTTCTCAACGGGTATGAAATCGAAACAATATTCTGAAAAGTCATTTGCACTTTCGGGAAGAGTGAAACCTCTTCTACTTGAATATCAAGTCTCCTCAGTTCCTCCAGTTAACGAAAAATTTCCTACGGTTATAAAAAACAGAACTACCATCGAACGAAAGGTTTAAATGGTTATGAAAGGGCACCAACTGAGAATAACACGGAGGCTATGAGTTTTTTCATATCATTTCAAATTTTTCTGTATAAAAGAGGGCACCGACTAAGTTTAGGTCAAGAGTCGCGTGAATAATCTGGTTTCTCTAATTTCTTTTCCTTCAGTTGTGTTTTCAAAGCGGTTATGAAAAGGAAACCAACTGGTGCTCGCTCAAGAATCGCATAAGGAATCTGTCGTTGCTTGTCATTGTTGTACAATACTGTTTAATAACGTCCTTCTCTGAAAAATCACGGTCTTTCTTTATATCATCATCATCGTCGTCTTATCACATCAATCTATTCAATCATAAAAACCCTTCCAAGTATAACATTAAGTATTCACCTACACCAAATGAGCTGATTCAATTTATGTTTAAAATCCATCGGGATTCATTTGCTAAAATTTCAGGGACGGTCTGCTTTCGTTTGCATTGTTAGATCTTTTTCATCGCCAAGAAAAGCAACTCGGGAGTAGGAAACAAAACGCTTATAGCTAGCAAAGTAGAACTTCAAACGTAGCTACTGAAGTAATATTGTAGGCACTACATTTCATGCCTTGTTAAAAGCGTTATGGCTTAAACCTTTTCTATAGTAATACCTTTCCTTCGCCGGATTTTCGATAAGACGGGCTGCATGTCACCACCTTTAGCTTCATCATCAGACTTCTTCTTTTCATCGTCTAAACAGAAACCATTTATACGGTAGAGTGTCTAAAATAAAACCTTGGGAAACTTTGCGCATTACGGATCCATGCTCCAACAAAGTGACGTAGATCACTTCACAGTAACTGTACGAGTGCATGGATGGATTCGAGATTCTATATCGTCCTCAGTTAGTTGGTTGACTGAACACAGAACTCTCTGTCGTTAGAGGATTACAGTCTTTTGAAAAGAATAGCAAGCCAGCAAAATTCTCACAGATCAACAAAGCTGCTAAGAGTACTTGTGGTGATAAATTGAGAATCCTCCACACGGTACGTCAGGATTCCAGAGAACTGCGGCCATCAATTTCCAGCATATCCCGCACCCCTATTAGAGCAACAATATGAATAATGGTTGGCCAAACGAGAACGCAAATGATACAAGTGCTACACTCGCATCAGATAACCTAAGTAGATAGCGAGGTAATTTTCTTTGTTTTTATTTTTTACACAATTTGTTTTCAAGTCTACTGTGCGGATCTCAGCAATCCTTACATTCGATTCGTCTCCTCGCATCCATTATCCACGAAGGTCTTTCAACTTTTACGTGTAGCTCCCGCTACTGCTTGAGGATTTTTATTTCATCTTGAATGTCGTAGAGTGCTGGTCGAGTCGATTCTTCTTAGAGTCTTAAGATAAGCGGGCTAAAGCGTTTCCAGTTGAATTGCGGAGAGTAAATCTTTTTCCCGAGCAACCCCAGTCCCAATTTTCTGTCTCCGAGAGGATAAGAGGCTTGGTTAAGCCGAGGCGGAATCGAATTAACATCATGCTCGTAATGACGAACACCATTACCACTGTGCTACCAGCCCCTAACGGAGTAATTACGATTATATAAACTGCATTCGTCTTAGACACTCTATGCTCTTTTTCAGTAGAAAGACGAAGAGACCGAGAACTCCTAAAGACTCGTATGAAACAGAGGTGGAATTATATCAGCTTGAAGTAGTTCAGTAGTGGTGATTTCTATTATTACTTTCATCCAAGAATAGCTCATTTCACGAGTGACCTGCTAAAACACAATAATTTTAATAAAATCCTAATCAATAAGATAAATTCTAGAGCTGATGGACTATGGTCTTCAAATATCCAGCGAAGCATTCCATACCAGTTACCGCAACCTCAAAACCAAACACATTATCGCTTAAAATTTTCCAAAAAGAAAAAAAAAGTTTGCCGGAAAAGATCTTCAACGACTACTACAACGAAGTCCGATTATGAACAGAAAAACAGTTATATCCTGTGCTGTCATATCCTTAATACCGGCCCACATTTCTGCCACCACTGAGCTTTCGAAGAAATACGCCACAAATTTCCTTTTCAGAAAAAATGACTTTTCCGATAAAATTTCTTGCTTGTTTATGAATTTCATCAAGCCCAGCGACGTATACAGCAGATTCTTCACATTAACATCAGTAAACTTCTACAGTATGCCACCCACTAGCCGGTTAAAAACTAAGAGAAAGCTCAAAAAGCGGATTTTCTACAAACGTTGGCGTAAATTGTCGATATATCTACTTATATGATCTTACAAACTGATCTTGTTGAGCATAGGTTTTGTTGCCGTCGTTATTGGTGTTGTAAGTCGATAGCTGCGGTTTCGGTAATTTCTTCTTTAGAGTCTCAAACTTGGAGAATTAAACCTAAAAACTGATAAACTGCTCCTTTACCCAAGTTTGAGGCTCTGATGAAAGAGAGATTGCCGAAACAGCAGCCATCGACCAAAAACAACCACAACGAAAACGTATGTCAACCTTGCATCTGCTTAACAAAATTGGTTTATAAGATCATATAAATAAATAGGAAAAAGCCGTTAGAGCGCTGGATATTTTCCAAGGTTTTTCTTAAAGATTTCCAACTATTCCATGAACTCCCTGTTGTTGTTAGCAACTAATTCTACGTTTTTTAGAACTTGACGCAGAATTTCTAAAGTTTACCTTTGGTGTACATGTTTTAGCTCATTTCTCGCCACTGCTGTGTTGTTCCATATAAGGGCAAAAGGGGTATTTCACGCATTTTAGCTTTGCATGATGGAGCTACCGCACAAAATGCACTTCTGACAAATTTCGAAGGTTAGGAATTGAGATGCCAGAGGAGCAGTATAGAGAAACTTAGTTTTATGAATTCTAAATCGAACGAAGGCAGCAGAAGATGTTCAAACATTGGTGAAGTATGAAGTCAAGAAAAAGAGTGTAAGATGCAATGCTGGTCTCGAAAATTTCGTTGTTGCGAACTCAACCTTGAAGATGAGACAGTATGTGGGCCTCCTCCTCCTATCGATGATGATAGTTTGAATCGATCCTTGCAAGAAAATGTAGGCGCAACTGTTCGAGAACTTTCAGAAAAATTCAATGTGATCATTCAACTGTTTCGGAACATTCAAAAAAAATTAAAATGAGAAGAAGTTTGAAAAATGGATGCCGTACGATTTGGCAGCACTTCGCAGTTTCGACTGTGCTACCACTTCTCGAACAGGTGATGCTGCAAACGTTGAACGAGCTGGGCTGCGAAACTGTTCCTCATCCACCATACTCACCAAATTTCTCGCCCACCAACTCTACCAACTACCACTTCTTCAAGCATCACAACGGCTTTTTACTCCAAAAATAGTTCGGAAACGAAGCTGAAGTCGAAGCTGCCTTCAACAACTTCATTACTTCTAGAATTCTAGAGCTAATGCAACTGGAATAGAAAAAGGACTTTTTGAAGCAAAGTTTATTCTTTTTCAAGGCATGTTATTTTAGTGTGGTAAAACCTGTCAGTGTGGTAGAAATGCCCTTAAGCAAAAAGCAAAATTTGAGGAAAAACCGAAGCAGCTCACCACTCTCGCTGAGTTTGGTTTTGAAATCAGTATCAATTAATTTGACTATTTTTCCAAAAAGAATCTCGAGTTGCATCTGTGTTACATTAATTGCCATCGAACACACTGACAAGCCGATCAGAATTGGCAGAAAGTTCGCTAGAGCCACATTGTGACTCAGAGTCAGATCACCGAGTCCTAAAATTAAAATCGTCAAAGCTGTTTTCTAAGGTGAAGGGGCACCTAAATTGAACCTGACGAACTCCGACATGATCTGTGAATAATTTAACAAAAACAGTTGATGTCGTGCTAGAAGACCTTCTTGGAAAGAATACTCTGCTGTACAGCTACAGATTATACACAGGTGATGGCATGTTTTGACGTAGAATTTGGCTGTGGTTTCCTATAGCAAAGGGCAACTGTAGTCCATTTATTCATAGAAAACTAGTTGCGCAAAGGGTTGTCAGTCACAATCACTTGATGATGTTATAAGACTGTCCTATCAATGCTTGTGATTTAATCGGTAAATGAAGAACGAAAAGAAGGACTTTCTCCTGGACGATTATTCTTCTTCGATGTATGGAGAGCCACCGGTTTTCTAAAAAAAAAGAAAAGGAAACTTGTGATATCACTAAGTACTTTGAATGTTCTCATATTACTGTTACATGACTGAATATGCGTGGCGCAATTTTTCGGGCAAACGTTTTATGGATCAAGATGGACTGGACAGCATACTGTAGAGCTGCGATGTTCATCGTAATTTCGGATTAGAATCTCTCACTATGGCGGCGCTGACGGCAGTTGACAACCTTCACTCTTATCAAACCCGCTATCCAGTTTGATGAGAAGTCGTGAATAAAACCTTCCAATTTGCCTTCAATGATACTGAGATTTAGAAGCGCTTTGATATGGTAAGCACGAGTTCAGCGAATCGGGTTTGCAAAACCTCAGACCTTTTAATTTGGAAAACGCACAAAACACCGAGTAATCCTATAAACTGGCAATATAAACACATCAGTGTCGTAATGAAATTATAGCCATTTTTTACCGCTCTTAAAAAGTAGATTGTGAAAACAATCATTTTCCGTTTATCAACATAACATCTCTTTTGGAGCCCTACAAAAGGTACACAAGTTGCCTTTTCGATAATCACTGATTTTTAAAAAGAAAAGGGCCGATGGCATGTTAAAAATAAAGCAAACCAATAGTAGTGAGTGATATAATGAAGAAGTATAGTGACTCGAAAAACGTCCATTTCTCGAAGAAGACGAACACAGCAGAGCATAGCACTATCCAGAATACGAGCACTAAAATTGTTCTAGTGAATTTTAGATTGTATACTCATACAAACTCCACAACGAATAGAGTAATTATTTTGTAGGACCGAATTACTTTGTACCTCCCAACGGTTTACCGCCTCATCGTGGCTGGGAGGTGTTCCTGGGTGTCGGACTGCGATATTCAGCAAGGGGATTTGCCTCCTAGCAGGGTCTCCCTAGTTGAGCAGGAGTCCCGCGTTTCCATCAGGAAGCCTAGCTAGGAGTAAACCAATACCAGGATCCACCACCGTCTTGGCGTCAAAGTCGCATGGTGATAAATCCTTCTCTGATCCACAAGTGCTGCGACTGCCTGTCGCTGTGACGACCTGGAGCAGACTTTGGACAGGCTGTCTTCAGGATTCCAGGGAACCACAATGGCTTAACCAGAAAATCTCCGAAAAATGGTTATTATGGTGCAGCTCGCACAAGTAGTGATGACGGGCCGTTCAAGTATCAAGTAGGTAAGTGACTGTTTTGTTAAATTATTACGTTGTCTTTCCTTGGCAAAGAGGGAAGTCTACATCAGTAAAGCATTTGAGAATAATTCGAATTGCATTCAGCAACATTGGAATCCAACATAAAGGCCGCATTTGTTTGTCTAACGTCGGCAACAATATTCGTACAATGTCAAATAATGTGAAGATACTGGCAGAGGGCGAATATAGCACAATGATCTTAGAAACCTTGTCATGGACATGGTAGCGAGTTCAATCCAGCGCTCTGTGTTGATCGGCTCCTTAATCAATGTGGCATCAGAAGTTTGTACCAGTTTGAGAGGAAAAAACAGAGTTATTAAATCATGCTCCATTATATGAGTCATGCATACACTCAATCGCTCTACACTGTTTACTAGAGTGAAATACACACAGAATTTCCTATGGATTGGCCAAAACCGAATCTTGTCACCTCCTGTTACAAGCGGCAAAGAGTCATCATCTCAATTTTTAGAAGTTTGTAATAAGTAAAAGCATAAAGCTGTCGGCATTGGTCAATTCCTGAGGGATACGTTATGTACTCGAATTCATCAAACAAACACCTCGTCTATATAATGTCTCGTAGTGTCCTATCAGTGTATCGAGTCAATGCAGGTAACCTCCCAGACAGGCCTGGAACCAATTTGCCTAATCCGTAGGAAGGGCAGGTTTGCGGAGTCTGGAGAGCAGGAACGATCCTATGTGTATTGCAGGGCGCCTCTAACCACTGCGCTATATGCGACCCATTGTAATAAGTAGTATGTAATAATAACGAATAGAAATAAATGTGAAAAAGTAAAGCGAATTCCACTCTCGTTTTATCCGTGTCTCCATTGTACGCCTTCAGACGATATGAAATAAATAAAAATATGATTCTTCGTATTTTTGTTGAGCAAACGCGAGGTGTTATTTTCTAATGGAAGCACATTATGCTTCCATGTGATTTCTGTGCGGTTGGTCTCTACGTGACATACTTAATGGAAACCTCATAGAAAGCGGCTCTGAGGAAGGCGAAATCCCCCGAAACGTCAGCTTATTCGTGAATAAAGAATAAAAATAACACCTCGCGTTTGCTCAACAAAAATACGAAGAATTACTTGAACAATGCCGAGGTTAATAGAAAGTCGGTCGTGGAAAATAAAAAAGTGATTTGATATAATTGAGAGCTGAACAGCGTTACCGAAGGCGACCAGAAACAAAGGAATCGGCTCGATGATGTCTGAATTGTCGATAGGGTTGTCGTCGCAGGTTTGAGTAGAAGGATAGCAAATGCTCTGCAACACATAACGCTAATGAATGGTCACATAGATAGGACCATCTATCATCAATACTAGTAGTTCAGATTTTCAAAACTATTCCCACTCCACAAATGTGACACCAATTTTGAGATCGCCTTTTTTCAACGGGGGGGCTTTTGATGTGCACTTCAACGTGCTCATATCTAAGGAGCGTAGTTTACACCCATTTTATCGAAGATCGTAGAAGAAAAATTATTCCATGAGAAAAAGCTAAAGTTGTGAAAATGAGTGGAGAAGAAGATCAGTTCCTTTTTTGCTCGGTGCAGTTTCGCAAACACACATTTAACCTTTTTTCCTCTTCTTCCGACTATTGGGGTTGGCATTATTTAATATCAAGCGCTTTCTACTTTTGCAATTCTATCATTTTATATCAACCACAGGCACTGCTTGATAACACAATGTATAGCCACAATCTTAGCCTTTTTTATTCATTGCCTATTCTTTTTAATGGCAGGGTATGTTGCGAAATATAACTTTAGAAATAATAAAAAAAACAATCTATAGCCTTCGTAACATTACTGTTTCATTTCCTCCTACGATGCCAATGCTCCATCCACATTGACAATGGTGTATAAAATAAAAGATAAACATTGTATCTTCTTCACCGCACTTTATTTGTACTTTAAAGCCTTCACTGACACATAATTTTAAAGGTGTCGTAAGATCCGCCTATTTGGAAGCGGAGGGCAGGTATTGCTATTCAGTTGCTATAATCCACTTTTTTGAATTTTCCTACACTTTGGCTTGCCCTTGACTCATCATAATTATGTCACATTTGCATGATAAGTAAGTACCTGTTCTTCATGGTACCTAATCAATCATATGTTATACTCCCTTATTATCACTGTTGACCCCCATCTTGTATTTCATGTCAGCATACTATTTTTATTTTTAACTTGTTTTTCGTGTACGTATAAACCTTTAATTACCAAGGCTTAAGATTCGAACTTCAGTACCACTACTAAATTCATGTCGCAGAGCAAAAAGCATCTACCATAGAAATAACTAATGTACTGGTGGATTTATGAGTTTATCTAGCGCTTTCTCATTTTCATAGTTTTACTGTTAATAACACTACAACAGTAAATTAAAAACGAATTAGATCCGGTCATCCAGTGAATAAGCTTTTTTCACTTGATGTCGCGTAGAATTTAGAACTAGTTAGAAGAAGCCATATTTTGAAGACCAGCTGGAATTCCATTACAAGGTGACGTCTCAGCTAGTCGCCCACCCATAGGCAAGAAAGAGAGGGCTAATCACTGGCAGACACTGCGTTTCATCATTCGCATTGCACAAGGCGTGGATAGAGTGAAGGCTGCAGGTATAATATTCAAAATCCAACATGCGTTTTGAAGGTGTTCGGGAAGTTATTGAGAGAGTTCATACTATAATCCTCTCCATTTCAGCAATATCGGATTAAGTCGAACGAAATAGACTGGAATGCACAAAGAACTGAACCATTTTCATAGCAACTGCTAAAAGAAGTAATATGTCGTAAAATCGGTTAGCTTATAGCTAGTGCGATCGTCGCTTATGAACAGTTATATATTTCACAATATAATGAATGTTATTGTTGGACCTCTTCCTCATGTGGGTGTGGTTGCCAGTTCGCTTGCAGTATAGCACTCACTGAATTCTGTTCATACATCTTTGCATGTCTTTCTCATCTAAGTTCTCAAAGTCTTAGTTCGAAACGAAGTTCATGAATGGAATGCAATCTTGCCGAAGTTCATTGCCGCTGTGTTACACTTCACACTAACTCCTTTGCGTACTATACACCATTAACAAGACATTTTTTGTAGCAAAATCAGCGGAATCACTTCCATTTTCGCAATGTATAGTTGGGAGCGCGTAGCACAGTGGTTCTTGGCGCCCTGCGGTACACATAGGATCGATTCCGCGCCTTAGGCTCACCAAACCTTCCAGTTGTCTAGGAGGGTAGCAGCACGATAGGATGCATTGGTAGGCCACCGCGACTCAATGTACAGGTCAGATAAGCATTCAATCACCTCTAATGATGCCTAATGAAGTCAAATGCATATTGCTTCTCTCAGGGATTGATCACCGCCGAGAACTTTACTCTTCTATCCTTTTATAGTTACCACTCTATTGTACTGACTCAAACAAAATAATACAGACTTCCAAAGGCATTACTAAGTAAGTGATTAAAATCCAGAATGAAAACGGTAGACTGACCTCTTGTGATTCCATATGGTATTTTGAACGAAATAAACTCTTTACCCAATGAATTCCGAGGACAAGTTTCTTCTTCCAGAGCTCTAAACCAAACAATAACATTACGGTCTTCTAATTTGGTTTGAACTAGCTGAACGAAAAATTGCAAAGCCATTTCTTCTGTAATCTCCCGTTCTCGCAAAAGTTACTATTGCTTGTTGTGGTGTTTTTCTTTGCTCTGAACACGAAACAAAATTGAGAAGAATGAAGGCCATATTTCTTCGCTTTGCATTGATGTACTAGTACATGCCTCCTTGTTTCCCCTTGACGAAATTTGCTGTGTACGATAAGAAATGAGGATTTTCATGACCAAGGAGTTCTTTTCAATCCACCTATTCTTGCGAGAACGTACCATCCACAACGTAGAACATCATGGTTCCCCAGTCATTAAGAATAGTGATCACCAGCGGAATACCGATCATCGCGTAAATCACGGTGAATATTCGTCCCCATGTCGTCACAGCAGCCATATCGCCATAACCTGCAATGGGGCTGGGATGGTGTCACTTCAACACTAAATAGAGCATCTTTGCCACTTTGTATCTTTCACCGTCAGAGGCTGAATGCCTTTCATTGATTTTAACCCTTTTATTTACTGCCTTTCTCTTTTTAATGGCAGGGTATGTTGCGAAATATAACTCGTATGTAATGCTGAGATATTTGCAAAACTCCGGACCGCAGGTGTATACGCTGGAGAGCGAACACGCGCTGTTGTCCTTACCGGGGAGCAGCGCACTTCACCACCACACCATCCGGGTCCTTCGTTTTGCCTGTCTCTCAGCTAGTTCTATCGATCTTTTTGCCATCAGCAATCACCCGCCACCCGTCAAAAGAAAAAGGCAGTAAATAAAATGGTTAAGATTGTGATTATAACTAAGCCTCAGCTTAACTGGGTTCAATGCCGATTTGGGCTCCCCAGATCAATCCCGTTAACGGGTGATTGCTGATGGCAAAAAGATCGATAGAACTAGCTGAGAGACAGGCAGAACGAAGGACCCGGATGGTGTGGTGGTGAAGTGCGCTGATCCCCGGTAAGGACAACAGCGCGTGTTCGCTCCCCATCGCATACACCTGCGGTCCGGAGTTTTGCAAATATCTCAGCCTCTCATTGAATTCAATCTGTATATGAATTAAATTTGCTACGTTTTCAAATGGAGCTTGTGAAACGCAGTGGCTAGAGATGTCGTGCAATGTGCACTGCACTGATCGCTGGTTCGATCCCGAGCCTGGAGATCGCCAAGGACACCGTACTTTCTAGATTGGAAAAATTGGTATCAAAGTTGTCTGAGACAGCAAGAACATTAACTTGGTACATTGGTAGGCAGCCGTAATTCACTATAGAGGCCAGGTATGCACTTTTCACTTTTATGATGATTAATGAAGTCGAATGCATGACGAATACCTTCTGCATTAATCAACACCAAACCCTTAACCGTTTCTGTTTCCAAATTACTCGAGATAAAACTAAATGGTGTTAAAGCAGTCAAATTCATAGAAATTACTTAAATGAAAGGAGTACTGGTAGAAATGACTGAAAGGAACGGTATCGTAGAATTCTGGCTTCATGCCGCTTGATTTTCGTTTAAACTAGATTGGAAAGTTTCAGCAATGGAAAGAAAATGGTTGAGTTCTAGCTATGCTGCAAAGTGGCACGATGTTCGAACTGTATGCCGCTACTACTGGTATTTAACAGCTTAGCTACTTCACGGCTTTCTCATGTCTACTTTAGCGAACTCTGTTGGCTTTTGTGGTGTCGGAATAACCAACCGATGGTGGTATAGAGAGTTCCAGCATAGTAGAGTGCTCCCCACAGGTTCCAGCGCTTTTCACGATAGGTAGTTGGCTTCATCGACATGTCTATGTCATACTTCTCAATGGCTGTTCTGAGCTTAGTCTCATTGAAATTAGTTGTATTCGATCCTTCGAAGTACATCGACTGAAAAGAAAACAACTCTGTTACTGCTGTATTAGCCAACCAAATTTCCGGCTACGTCCAGAACTATACATATAAACCAATAAATCGAATCAAATAACTTCGAATGACTATAGGATAAAAGATAGATTCCGATCAATATCCTATTTATCGTTTTTTAAATAATCTTAAATTGCCTCTAATTAACTTTAGCTAATTAGTTGCCGAATTAAACATTGAGGACGACTTTCAATAGAAAGGATTCAAATGACAAAGAAATCAAAATTGCGGGAATCGGGCTGTTACATTGCCTTCGATTGGTAGCTGACTAGTCGCCGTCCTGAAGGAGTTTAAATCATAAAGCACTAAACTCTGCGCCGATTTGCAAAGGCCAGCGGAAGCTTGTTGAGGTGATCTGATAGTCCCACAGCAGAGATATCTGGCGATTTAAAAGGAAACCCGACTAGGACTCAAATTGCCATTGAAAAAAGGGTAAAAGAAGTTCTTAACGAAGAACTGGACCTACACTTGAGATCGACTAGATCGACGAATGATGGTAGCATTCTATGAATTGGATAACATCCCAGGTTTTTCCCTATAGACATAGAAGATTGCAAGGTTACAAATGAGACCCGCGATGAATAAAATGATGCAATGTAGGATTGGAGCCACATACTATGAGTACTTCCACTGTAATAGGACGGTCACTGAGTGAATGCACCGTGCGTTTCTGATTCTCGAGCTTCGCCAAAAGTCATGCAACCTTAGCAAGTCGTTTAGGACAGAGCCGTCACTAGGTTCCATCAACGACCGCGGGCTGAGAAACAAATTGTAAGGATGTCGAGACGCAGCTACTCAACGATTGGCGGATTCACTCGACAGTCACCACTCTGTCATCAAAAAGCATTTGCGAGGTACTGTAAAACGATGGAGTGGATGACGGATGTTAGTTCTATGTTTCACTACAGGTTTATGCTACTGCCACAGTGTAGATGAAGTGAGGGGAGTGAAGAACTAGGTGTGGTGCCACATCAAAGAGAAGTCATGGAGATTAGCTTAAATTTGCCTTCTTTACGACTGAATGTTGCTGTAACGTCCTCGAAACAGCAATAGATTTTCGACCTGCAAACGGTTCTATACCGTGCGTATATTATTGGGGTCCTTCATGGCACAGCTTTCATTTTTCCGACCTTTGGAAAACTCTTTTCAAAATCGGAATTCAAGCTCTACTACAACTAACAGCCCACTTCAGTTCACTCAATGTCTATTTGAACCTTGGGTTTATATGCTTGAGATAATCATCATACGGAAGAATGAGAAAAAGTGGTGCCGAAATACGCTTAGAAAATGAAAGAAAAACGTGAAAATACTTTATTTTTTTAGCATCAGTTTATGATGTCAGATTATTATAAGTCGAAAGCCAATTTGATGGATATTTAGGAATTTGTAAGAATTCCAAAGACCTGTTGCAGTGTAATAATCGATGTGCTGCCATCAGCAATTCAAGTAATTTGATAAAATAAAATAAAAACAATGAAGGAACCAAAGAATTTTCTACCAAGGAGATCTGTACATTGAGCATTAATTCACCCGAATACTCTTGATTAACTCCTTTTTAGCGGCCACACTCTGTCTTACTAAGCGTTTCACCTCTTCGGCGTTTCTAATGTCCTCGCTGGTGCTTTCAAGTCTACAGAACAACAGTGCTCCACAAATGCTGAAAAAATGACGTAGAGGTGTAATTTGAACCATAGGTGTTAAGAAAAACCCAACTTTTCTTCGAATTCTTTCGCGCCTTCCGTCTTTTTTTGTCCTCATCATGTTTTTTGTTCTATGAATCTTCAAATAACATCAACAACCATGTTCATTTACTGCAGAGACCACTGTTACTATTATAACAAGAAGCCAGAGAAAATTTCTTTAGCATTTTCGTCAGCATAAAGACATTTACGTAGTTGTCTGACCAGACATTGAATGTAATGTGCCACTTTTTCACTCGGTTTGTTGCCTTCCGTCTGACATCCACAAAGGACTTCAGATTTCCATGTGAGCTTGGTTGCCACTTGAGAACTTTGGCCTTTTTTTTTTAATGGACCTCCTTTAATGCTGGTTGAGTTAAGTGTTGCTAGAATATCATACCTTTCTATTTTCTGCCTACTATAATTTCGCGGCAGAGTACTAAGCGAAATACAACCACAACGTTGCTGAGATATTTGCACAACTCTGGACCGCAGGTGTCTATGGTGGGGAACGAACGCGCTATTGTCCTTTCCGGGGAGTAACGTGTTCACCACCACACCATGGGGGTCCTTTGTCTCGCCTGTTTTTCAGCTATTCGTCCCAAGATCGACGATTTCTTCCTTTCTTCTTTTCCATCGACAGTAGAGTAAGAATCAACAATGAAAAACTGCAGCTTCCACTTTGCACATAAAAGCGATGACAAGGTTTGCTGCTAATAGTTGCCCTATGGCCAACCTTCTTATTTGTGCAGATATTCTCGGCCATTTAATCTTTAAACAACTAATAAAGAGTTTTGAAAATATCTCAGCAACGTTGTGGTTGTATTTCGCTTAGAACCCTGCCGAGAAATTATAGTAGGCAAAAAATAAAAAGGTATAACATTGTGATTTCAACTACAACCGCAGCTTAACTGGGTTCTATGCCGATTTGGGCGCCCAAGATCAATCTCGCTGACGGGTGATTGCTGTGGCAAAGATCGATAGAAATAGCTGAGAGACAGGCGAAACAAAGGACTCGCTTGGTGTGGTGGTGAACGCGTTACTCCACGGAAAGGACAAAAGCGCGTTCGTTTCCCACCATAGACACCTGCGGTCCAGAGTGTTGCTAGAATACTTGGATCGGTCTACCTAAGCGTCCAGGCAGGTTTGAAGTACCGGAGTACCGGTTATACGTATCTGTTAAGCCGCTCTCTAACAGACACTTTCTGAAGTGAATAGTAGGTAATGGACAATTATAGAGTGCACTGGAATGCTAGAAAGTGTTTTAGAATGGTCATGGTGACATTGAGCTTCGTCCATCGCTTGTTTCATGGCCACAGTAAAGTGTTAATATTAAAGACGAATTTGGTCGATGTACGTCAAGTGACGAATTGAGGCCACGAAAAAGTCGGAAACCGCGGAAATATAATACTTGCAAGAATGCTACATCGCAAAGACGCTATATGCCAACATTTTCAAGGGCGTAAAAAAATTATTGAACGACGTTGGTCGTTGTTGGAAATCTTTTGAAAAGTGAATTACCTCAGTGGAAGGAGTGCAAATGCTTACACTGTGTGAAGAAAGAAGAGAAAGGTTACTTGCTAAATATTTGAAGCCGTTCCAAAAAAAAAGCGCAAAAACCCTACGCTTTTGACAAATCTGTGCCCAATTCTGGAACTGAACAGAATGGGTGTTGTTTGAATAACTCACCTGTACAAAACAAGAAGTATAAATAGCAGCAAGTGATGTAGGTGATACTTTTCATAGTTCACTACAAGAAGATTCCAGAACATCCTGAAAACTTTAGCTGTGGTAAGAAAACGTTGAGCAGATGCGAAAACTGGGATACTGAATCTGATGAACATGAAAGAGTACCAAATAGAAAAACGATGGATGAAGTGGGCTCAAATGCGAAGTCATTTAGAAGGTTCCAGTTTTTGTTTCATTACACTCGTCTACTGTGTGACAAACAGCTTGCTCCAGAGAGACGTTTTTCTACGGGCATTGAACACAACCAATAACATTCATAAAGAGCACAACATTTGCGAACGAGCTCTACAAGTTTCACTGTCTTAAAACACGGCAAAAGTGATACGAACACATTTATTGAAAGGTTTCTCAATATGAACATTCACTAGCACAATCGATACCGACGTAATCAGTAAGTCGAATTAAAAGTCCTCTAAATAAAATCAAAAATATTTTTTGTTTCATTTTACACGACCCGGCATCATATCTACTGATCAGATTCCAGAACTTCTTGCATTCGATTCGTTTTCCTCGCTTTCCACAGTGGTCTTTGAACATTTCGCGTGCTCTTTCACCTGCTGCTTAAGGATTTCGTGTTCCTTATGAACTTCGAAAAATGCTGTTTGAATCGTTTCGCCTTCTTAGAAATAGCTGGACTAAGGAGTTTCGATGTTGGATGGACTAGAGCGTTAGAGAGATGGTTGAACCTATGCCTTGCTTCCGGATCGACGGCATCGCTAACCACTGCGTTACCCCCAAGGTAAGAAAATCACGAAAAAGTGAACTAAAACTTGATAGCTTTGATTCCGAAAGTAAAAACAAACTTTTTCTTGCTCTTATACTACTACTTCTACTGTGAGGATTTCATCGTTTCTCACAATGGATTCGTTTCCACGCATCCATTGCTCACGAAGATCCTCCAGCTTTTACGCGTGGCTTCGATTGCTACTTGGGTATTTTCATTTCATGTCGTAGCATCCTGGTTGGGCAATTCTTCCTGGAGTCCTGAAATAGCCGGAATGGAGCGCTCTCAATTGGTTTGCGGAGAGTGATTTCTTTTCCCAGACAAGTCCTGTACCAATATCCCGATCTCGGGAGGATGAAAGGATTGTTTGTCCCAAAGCGGAATCGAACTAGCACCATGCTCGTGATGACGGACATCACTATCACTGTGCTAACCGCCCTCTTAGCAGAAACAAATACGTTTTTGAATAGCTAACTCTCTTCGAAAATGTTCGAGGAAAACTAAATTACTCGTAATTTCGGTTCATATGCTATGTTGAAAATTACTACTCTTTAGGTATTTCTTACCAGGTGTGTCATGCTTCAATATACAAATTCATATAAAAAAAGCAAGAGAACGTATGCTAATAACCATAACCATCTTGCGAGGAACCCGATTTTTTTCTACATCGTCGACAAGTCACATGAATGGGAAAAAAATGCTTGGAAAAGTGCTAACAGAACGCGAACTGAACTGACAGCGGACCGATTGTGTGTAAAGTACGGGTGTGAGGAAATTCACACATCTTTAGGTGTTTATGAGATCAAAAC